GTGAGTCTGCTGCTTTTTTTCCTAGAGCTTTCAGTTGTGCTGTTAAGTCTCTAATGTGAGCTTTCTTTGTTTTTTTTTTTTGTTTTGTTTTGTTTTTTTAATGTGGGCACTTAGAGCTATGAACTTTCTTCCTCTTAGCACCACTTTCATAGTATCCCATAGGTTTTAGTATCTTGTGAATTTTTGTTGAATTCAAGGAAGACTTTAATGTCTTTCTTTATTTCTTCCCTGACACAGGGGTAGTTCAGTAGTTGACGGTTCAGCTTCCATGAGTTTGTAGGCCTTCTGGTGGTAGAATTATTGTTAAATTCTAACTTTATTCCATGGTGATTCAATAAGACACAAGTGGTTATTAATATTTTTTGTATCTGTGGAAGTTTGCTTTGTTACGATTATGTGGTCCATATTAGCAAAAAGATTATTGAAATTTTGCATGCTAATATTGTCTGCATTATATAAATTTTCAAGTTTGTTGATTTATTAATTAATCAAATAGCTCCCTTTGTTATGAGATCTGGTAAATTGTTTTAAGTGTAATAAAACACTTTATTTGTCCAGCCAGTGCCATGTTTGCAGAGTCATGACCAGCAGCGGCTCAACTGGGGGCAGCACAAACAGTCCTGTGCCGCTTGGTGTTCTGCCTTGGTATTGGGAAAACACTGACAAATATGCTTTGCTTGACAAATTAAAAAAAGATAAAAAATCAACTCTGTACATGGAGCAAGGAGCCAAGAACTCAGGAGCAGGAGGCACAAACTGGAAGTTTTGCAAGCCACAGTGTGGTAAGGAAAGTGACAGTGGGGGAGGGTAGAAAATGTGCATGAGCTTGGGAAATTACCAAGTTGCCATCCATGTGTGGCAGAGGTTTTACAAAATAAAAAATAAAAAAAAAAAAAACACTTAATAGGTGGTGAAAGCAAGCCAGGCGGGCAGGAGCAGGAGAACTTCTGGGCCTTGGACCATTAAGCCTTTTGGACCAGCAGGTGTGGAGCTAGGGCCTATGCTGGGTGGCAAATGAAGACGGATACAAAGAAGAAATCCTACACTAGCTCAGAATTGAGTACAATAAAAAGGTTATTTATTTATGGGTAGACTCACAGATCACAGTTCTCTGCTTGAACAGGGAATAAAACTGAATCCCAGAGCCAGAAAAGAGAGGGAGCACACTTTACATTGGTGTTTATACTATTAAAGGCCACACATGATTGGGCGGGTAACTTAAAGGCTACTGACTGAAAGATTTCCTAAAGCACTCTGGCATACTTATATAAGATACAAGACAGAAATACCTCATTTCCTGGTAAACTGTGTCTTAACAATTGTATCATAAAACCACATTAAAGAATTTTTTTCTTATACCAAGTATTTTTTATTCCTGTATTTCCTTATTTTCCCAAAAGAAGTTATCTTTTGACAAATTACACTTTATTGTTAAAAATAACAAGGCTATAAGTATATGAACGGGTATTAAATAATGGCTTATCTAATAAACATTCTCATAATTAAATAAAATAAAATAAAAATTTTTGCCATGGACTAGAGAGATGTTTCAGCAGAAGCTACTCTTGTGAAATATATGAGTTCAGTTCCTTGTATCCACATTGGGCAGCTCAAAACCACCTGTACCACAAGCTCCAGGGGATCTGACATCTTTACACAGGGAAAACAGACTCAATAAATGGTGCTAGAGAAACTAGTTCTGTTGTATATGAGTGCTTACAAATGTAGTGTTGCAGGGAGGGCCTGCGTGTTTGTCCTTACTGCCCAGCTAGCTTAGCCCTGGAAATAACTACACAGAAGCTATAGTAATTAAATCACTGCTTGGCCCATTAGCTCTAGTTTTTTAATTGCAAATTTTTACATCTTAATTTACCCCATTCCTATTAATCTGTGTATCACCATGTGGCAGTGGCTTACCAGGTAAAATTCAGTACATCTATCTCAGGTGGCAGATCCATGGCATTCTTCTCACTCTGCCCTCTTCCTCCCAGCATTCCATTTAATTTTCTCCACCTACCTAAGTTATGCCCTATCAAGGGCCCAAAGCAGTTTCTTTATTAACCAATGAAAGCAACACAGACAGAAGGACCTCCTATACCATTTTACCTTTTCAAATGTTTAAATAAAAAGGAAGGCTTTAACTTTAACATAGTAAAATTACATATAACAAAACAGTTATCAAGCAAGAATTACAGGTACAATATTTATATCTGTTTCCTTAGTTATCTTTTATGATAACTAAGAAAAACTAAAACTATAACCCCGAAGAATCATCTCACCTTTAGCAAACTTAGCAGTCTTTTCTCTGTGGGTCCTGCATGTCCATTGAAGCAGTCCAGGCAAGAGCAGTTTCTTGCCCAAATGGCTAACCAACTCTCTACGGAGCCTCTTTAATGCCCATCATCTTTTTGAAGTAGCTTGGTGCTGCCAGGAGCGAATGTGTCTCATTGTCATGAAAATTCTTAAGTTTTTAAACAATTTAAATGCCACATACTGAAGGTCTCTGAAAGATTTGAAGAATACCTAAATTGCCACACCAACTCCAGTGTCATCTATGTGACATGACATATGTCATTATGCCGGATGGGAGCTACGTGTCCTATGGGACTAGGCTTCCTGGAGGTCAATGGCAGACAGCCCAGTACTGGCTGCCCTTAAGGCATAGACAGGTTTCTCAATTAGCTGGCTATGCAAGATATGGGCTTTGCAAATCTCTTTTATAATAATAATATTCTATATATCTACAAGACAAGTATTATCTCTTCAGGAACAGCTCCAGGATGGGGAAGCAAAGTATGGGAAAGTATAAGACTACAGAAGAACCCTTGTCATACACAGGGTGTATGATGAGCAAGGGAATAGATGGGTTAATGTTGATGGACAAAAAGTATTATATTATACTTTGAACTTTATGGATCCCAACCCCCATAGTGTCTGCTGCATAAGAAGGTACTAAAAAGTATATTTCTACAGGTACACAGAACTGATTAGGTATATTTGGTCACTAGATGAAATAAAGGGTTAGGAAGAGGAAAGGCCATGATAAAGATAATGAGACAGAAACTTTCTATTCATAAGATGAAACCACTTCTCTGAGGTTTACATTCCCAAGGACAAGATTTCCTCTTCTAAGGATGCTTTATGTCTAACACCTGTCCCTGATAATATGCTTTTCTTAAATATTGCTGATGTGACAAAAAGAAGCTTTCATACTGTGCCAACCAATGATACATGAGCTTCTGATTTGTTCTTTGTTTGAATACTATATAATGAAAACATGAATTCAGTAAAATTGCACCAGATTCCAAGCACTCTCTTGTGTGTTGTGACTGTCTGTCATTCGCCAAACTTGTGCCTTCCTGTTATCAGGACCCTGCTTTTCCCACGGTCTGAGTAGCTCCCCTGAGCAGGTCCGTGGCACTAAATAACTGAAATATATCTCTAAATATCTAGATAATCTAACTAACATGACTACAAGCTTGACTATTTATAGATGATCATCTATTAACATATATTTCTTAATTATACAATACATTCTTTAAATGAACTATACAATCACAGTACAGCCGTCAGAGAGAAAATATATATACATATATCAAAACTGATCTTAAATTTGTATCAATAAACCAATATCTGTACCAAAGCATATTATTCATATCTATATCATATCCCACTTTAAATGTAAAAAGAACATTTATAAACAATATTTGGGAATATTGGCATGTTTTTTTTTTAAGTTTTTCAGGTTTTACATGGATATAATCATAAACATTGGAGCACCAATTGTTACAAGTGAGGGCTGCTTGTTTGTCCTGGCTGCCCAGCTAGTTAGTCCCGGAAATAACCACACAGAAATTGCATTAATTAAATCGCTGCTTGGCCTATTAGCTCTAGTTTCTTATTGGCTAATTTTTACATCTTAATTTATCCCATTTCTATTAATCTGTGTAGCACCACATGGCAGTGGCTTACTGGGTAAAATTCAGTACATCTATCTCAGGTGGCAGATCCATGGCATTCTTCTCACTCTGCCTTCTTCCTCCCAGCATTCTATTTAATTTTCCCCATCTACCTAATCTACCTAAGTTCTGACCTATCAACAGGCCCAAAACAGTTTCTTTATTAACCAATGAAAGCAACACATAGACAAAAGGACCTCCAACACCAACGTAGTATAGTTAAAAATATGGGAAATACTCCAGATCTACACCTTTCCTTCAATCTCCACCCCTATTCATTAATAAACAAATACTATGTAGATTAAAAATAAAACTTTAGGGACTGCAGAGCTGTCTCACAGCTACTCTTCCAGAGGACCCAGGTTCAATTCTCGGCACCCATGTAGTGTCTAAAACCATCAATAACTCCAGTTCTAGAGGATCTGATGCACGATTTTGATCTAATGGGCACCAGGCAGCTAAGCAGTGCGCAGATATACATGCAGGTGAAACACTTATACCTGTAATATAAATATATTTTAGAATAAAAATATAAAATAGTATATTTAAAGAATCATAAAGGAATGCACACTTGTGATCTTTGAAGAAATCCTTCCATCTTAAGACAAACAGAACACACACAATGAAGACAAAAACTGATAGATTCACTGTATATGGTGGCTCACTCCTGCAATCCTAGCATTTGGAAGGATGAGGCAGAGGTCTGCTAAGAGTCTGAGGATAGCCAGGCTAAAAAATGAGTTCCAGGTCAGACTATGCTACTGAGACTCTAACTCACCTCAAAAAAAAAAACCTAAGAAATTCAATTATATTCAAATTTAAAACTTCTACCTATAGATGCATATATAGATCTGGCTCAGGGGTACATGGAAGGGCTGCTGGCTTTCAACCTAAGTAGCAATAACTATCTGAACAGTACTCAGGTTACCAACACTCTGTCACAGAGGAGAGGGATGTTCTCAAGGACCTACCCATCTCTGAGGATTTACAGACATTACACTATTACAGGATGGGAGCTTGTAAGGCCCTCACCTCCCTCAGATCTATAGGAAGATAATGGTTACTAGGGTTGGGAAGTGGTGAAACACACAAATTTTTTTTCTGGCCCTTCATTTATGTTCTTACAAGTAACCCTTAACCAAAGCCAAATAAATATAAACAAACAAATATAAAAAACACATAAGCAGAGGTGGGAGGTAGTCAAGAGGTAGTAGTGGACACTGGAGGGGAAGAGAAAAAAAAGGAGAAAAAGAATAGGAGGACAAAAGAAGACAATAGGGACGGTGGTAAATATGACCAAAATATATTACATACCTCTATGAAAATATCATAATGAAACAATATTTTATGTAATTAACATATACCAATTAAAATATTTTTCAAAAACATAAGGTTTGTTTTCTACTGCTGTTAGTTAATGCAAGAGAGACTAAATTATTTTAAGTGAATTATTTACTATAAAAATAGGAGTTTAGTTTTAAATTTTTTGGAAAAAAGTATGTAAACATACAATATCACCTCAAACTATATAAACTGTTGAAGGATAATCCAGCAAATTCAATGACTGTATTAACCCAGTGGCAAATGCAACTTTAAATGTATTACTCCAGTGGTGTATGCACCATTAAATGATTGCATTAGTCCAGTGGTACATGCAACAGTAAACTATAGCTTGCATTTTTAAGCACTCACCAGAAGATTTTGTTTTTCCATCATCAATATCAGTAGCTATTGATTCCATCATGTTTGCTTTTCTGCTGTGAACTTCAGATGGATACATTCTTTCCCTGTTTACTTCTATCTAAATGTGCCATAGCTGCTGTTGTCTATATCCTCCAGAATTATCTAAACCATATTGCTGCTATTGAACATAAAACAAATAATTTATTTTTATGCCCCTTGTTCTTCAACCAAATGGGAACTTTCAACTTTTACATTTTGGGGTAATGTATATTGAAATAGCCTGGCTTATGGATTTTTCATACCAAGTAAATGTTAAGATTTTTATGAAATTAAACCATACATCCATAATGTAATAACTAGATATTTCTGTAAGCTTCTTCATCACATATAAATAATTAGTTTCTTTCCTTTTAGTATAAGAATGAAAGAAACATCTTTCTGTGGGGCAGAATTCTCATGATATAGTCTATAATGGGAACCTGCGAATTTGTCCCAAAACTCATCCACTAAGTCCCATTTTATCCACAAATCACTCAATCATGCTACTGAGTAAGTGAGCTGTGATTTTGCAAAATGTACTGAGACACTCGGATGTATAAAATGCTTTATGGATAAACTTACAAAGTTTCATCTTTGTCATGATTATTCTTAATTATTAGGGTTCAGGTGACTTAAATTTGCCATAGAAACATTTTAGGGTATGTCTGTGAGGTTGTCTAGATAGAGCTAATAGAGACAATTAGCTACCTGAAGAATCACCCATAGTCTCATTTGCAACACTGAAGCAACCAACTTTCCTAAGGCCTAGCATAACTGACAGACCATCTTCAGAGGCAGAACTGATAGGAAATCCTTGGGCATACAGTTGGGTGACAGAGAAAAAAAGTTAGACTAGGAGAAAAGCCGAGAAAGTCTTCAGGAAAGAGCTATGTAAGAAAGGAAGGGGTGTGAAGTTTATCTACCTATTTTCCAGGCCTGCATGGGCACCAGGTTCCTAGGTGGAGAATGTCTTCAGCTATCAGTAGGTGACAGAAATAGATGGGATAAGAGAAGGAAGCTGAATCTACAGCAGTGGTATATGGAATCCCCAGGGAATGAATAGAGAGGGAGGACAGGCTTCAGGAGGTCTGCTTCAGAGGACAACTTTTGAGAATCAGATCTTTCCTTGAGCATGAGAATGCCAAAGTCTGAACTTAGGTTGTTAGCTTTGGTGATAAATTCCCTTACCACTGAGGTATGTTCCTAGTTCCTACTTAGGGCTTAACT